AGGTTTCAGTACCAAGCAACTCATCTGGGCCCTTGTGTGTCGGAGGAGGGGTTTCCATGGTTGGTTTTCCACAAGTAGATCGTCAGGCCTTTCTTCTGCGGTGCCTGTGGGTAGACTTGAACTGCCAACCTTTCGTTTAGCAGTCAAGTGCATTAACTGTTTGCACCACCCAAAGATTCTACTTATTAGGAAACGTCCTTTTTTCTTTTTCTGTAGGAATCTTCATGGCACTTTGAGTTGGGTACTGGGCTGCTAACTACAAGGCTGTTGGTTCAAACCCATCAGCCGCTACTTCCCCACAACCTTCCACTACCTAGCACCTGGGACTGGTCCTGTCTCATTCCTATCCCCTCCACTTTTCATACCGTGGTTTTTGTTCATATGCACAGAATATCCTAACCTTATCTGGATGCTCCCTTCTGTCTCCTCCACAGTCAGGCTGCCAACATGAATTCCCTACTGCAGAGAGCTGCATTCTCTTGCCACGAGGCTCCTGTTTCTGATTGTCTTAGCATGTGTTTGCAATATCAGTGCCTGGAGTGGCAATAAAGCCCTCTTCACCGAAAATGCTAGGTCAGACTCCTACGCACACTTCTATTATTCCAATCCTTCGGGCTATTTGAAAGAGCTTTATCTGTTCCCCCCACTTTCTCCAGCATTAGCCTTGTGCCCATTTCTCCTGGCTATTTAAGTAGAGTGTACCTGTTTGGTCTGTTTGAACAGGAATTAGGGAATCCTGTTGATGGTAGCTTACAGGGTTACTCGGGGTCTGTACAGACTTGCTGTTTCTCAGATTATTTATACAATTTATTGTCTACATTCTCTTACCTCTGTATCTCTAAACTCCATCTTAATGCAATACAGCCCTTAGTGCCAAACCAATTTTTTCTAATGCGTGTTTTCCCTAAAGCCCCAATACCTTCATTCCTTTGTTCTGATTTATTGCTGCTGCCTAACCACAGCTACAAGGCAGAAGAAAATAATAATAATAAAAGTTTTAAAACCCTGGTAACAAGCACATCAGGATTAACATGCTAGGTCTATGTTAAACCATCCAACAATGAACTAACTCATCTTTAATTTATTAGCCTGATTCTGATATAAATTCTGAATCAAAAGTAAAAGGTTGTGTAGATTAATAATATTAAACTTGCGAAACAAACTCTCCAAAAGTAGGCAATATTAAGCAAAGGGAACTGTGCCATCCATAATTCATGGCTCTGGTTCCTAGGTAATTCCTTGTGTGCTGGATGCAAGCTCACAGATGCTTTTTAAATAGGCCTCGCTGTACTCAAACCGGGAGGTAGAATCAGCACATCTAACTCCAAACTTTAGGACCTGCTCTACTTATATCCAGTGACAATGGCATTAAGAACATCCCACAACACACACATTTTTGAGGCCAAAATTACAGGTCCAGTACTAGATAAATCCCCAAGTGGCCTAAAAAGGCGCTGGCCAGCATCCATAGTACTCCACCTGCAGCCAGGGATTGGCCGCTGGTGGGCTGAGCGATCTAAATGAACAGGTCCAGAATGAAAGAGAACCTCACTGCTACATAACCTGGGCATTCTCAGGCCCTAAGAGTAAAACCTGGTTCGATGAACCCGATTGAGATCAGCCTGAATTTGTGAGAGGAACACATCAACAATGCCTGGATCATTTAATCGATGGATTCCTTTCCCGCAAGAATGGGGTAGTTTAGCTCAAGCTGTCAGTACTACCAAACTGGGGTTCTGTTTCTGCTGCTAGAACTGACCAGGAAAAATGAAATTGGCATGCTAACTCCATGAATACTAGAACATTCTGATAAAAACGGTTTAGCTTAAGCATTAATCATTAGCTTAAACATTCTCCCTTCAATATGTACCTTAGGAGGTCTCAAAAGGACACAACGTGTGTTGCAACCACCCTAAAACAGATCATCATTGATGTATCAAACTTTGCCAATGATTAACTTTTCCAGTCAATTAGGGAAGCTTTAAGGTGATCACATCACGGTCACAGGAATATTACTGTCACGTATTCTTTTAAATATGATCTTGAGATGATGAGATTTCTGATATGAAGTCAGCAATTGTACTCAGGGTCATATTGCTCATGCTACCATTAGTCTTGTAGTCACAGAACAGAAAGAGAGAGAGAGAGAGAAAGAGAGAGAGAGAGAGAGAGTGAGAGAGGAGAGACGAGAGAGAATATTAGTGCTTTATGCAATCAAATGTCCTGTTGCTACCCTCATTGCCATCAAGTCAATCCCATCTCACAGCCACCCCATCTTCAGAGACAACTCCTGCACTGAGCTCTCATGGCTGTGCCCTTTCAGAAGCATATTATCAGGCCTGTCTACTGAGGTGCCTGCAGGTGGATTCAAAGCACCAACCTTTTGGCTAGAAGTAGAATGCTTAATCATTTGTGTCAACTAGTCACCTTCGTTTTCCTTAAACCCTTTTTATCCTATAGAAGTAAAACTAAACTTTATTGATTCAAATTTCTAATTGTAGGTGATGGGAGGAATTGATGAAGTTTTGTTTACACTCTGGCCCAACATAGTGCAAAGATGGCTTTTGGAGATTGACCTACCACTAGCATGCTACTTGGTTAAGTGCTCAGGTCTGACTTAGTCTGCTCTTTGAGTTTGCCTTCTCTGGGTCTCCTGAGACCTTCCCATTCAGGTAATTGATTCAGTTCTAGAATATTTCTTGAACACTTAGGGTTCTGTGGTTATATATAACAGAAAGTAAATTCAGCTAAGTTGAGCACAAAAATGGAAAGTTTTCGAAGGAGCTGAAAATTCTTGCACAATTAAATAAGAACCAGAGCTCCCAGGTCCCTGAAAAGACCCCTGGTGCTGTCACTAGGATGTTATTAAGTGTGTTTGTGGTGCTAAAGCAATACAGGTGGTCCCCAACATTCTCGTTACTGACAAATCACTTACAACTCTTTGGTGTGTGCTATTGATAGTAATATTTACTACATACAATTTTGCAATGCCTAATTTGATGATGTTAACATTCTCAGATGTTCACTCACAGGTGTTCAAAGATCAGATTTACAAAGACATTGGCAATAATAATGAAAACTTTTCAAAAAATTAAAGAGGGATTCTGCTTCTCTTGAAACCTATTGAGTAGGTGTAGTTAGAATCGAACCAGCCACAGAACTCAGACTACCTGTATACTCAAATTAATAGGAATTACAGAGGGAGAAGTGGTCAATTGTAGTAAGTGGGAGCAGTGGTGAGGTTGGAAGTAAGCAAACATTTAATAGGGAGGGTGAGATTTGATCTATTAAAAGGTAAATGGGTGTTTGCTTGGTAGTCAAAGAAAAAATGGGCATTCAAGGTCAAACTCACAAGGTGTGAGTATGGCACGTTTAAGAACATGGATATTCTCCCTCAACACAAGAATACTTTCTTCTAGTAAATTGGCATTCTATGATGCTCACCTTCCCGACACAACCGCTGAAGACAAAGCGGGTGAATA